TATGCAGCTATCCTCACTCAACACGTCTATGTGTCCGGCAATCTCCAAGGCAAATCACCCTGCGAGGTTTCAGTATGCAGCTATCCTCACTCAACACGTCTATGTGTCCGGCAATCTCCAAGGCAAATCACCCTGCGAGGTTTCAGTATGCAGCTATCCTCACTCAACACGTCTATGTGTCCGGCAATCTCCAAGGCAAATCACCCTGCGAGGTTTCAGTATGCAGCTATCCTCACTCAACACGTCTATGTGTCCGGCAATCTCCAAGGCAAATCACCCTGCGAGGTTTCAGTATGCAGCTATCCTCACTCAACACGTCTATGTGTCCGGCAATCTCCAAGGCAAATCACCCTGCGAGGTTTCAGTATGCAGCTATCCTCACTCAACACGTCTATGTGTCCGGCAATCTCCAATACAAATCACCTGAGGTTCAATATGTGTCTTTCCTCACTAAACGCGTCTATGTGTCCGGCACTATCCAACATCACTCCACTCGTGAAGTTTCAGTATGTAGCTATCCCCAGCGCGTCTATGTGTCTGGCAAACTCAAAAACCAGTCCATCTGTGAGGTTTCAGTATGCAGCTATCATCCAACATCACTCAACCCGTGGGGTTTCAGTATGCAGCTATCCCCGCTCAACCCGTGTAGACTATGTGTCTGGCAATCTCAAACCTCACTCAACCCTTGGGGTTTCAGATTAACAGCTATAATCACTCAACACGTCTATGTGTCCGGGGATCTCCTACATCACTCAACCTGTGAGGTTTCCGTAAGCAATCCTCACTCCACGCATCCATGCGTCACGCGTCTTTGGTAGCGCATACTATGGGGGCTATATTTGGGGTGGCGTGTTTTACAGCGCTTTGCCAACGGCGCCAACCCGAGGGAGGGGGCGGGGGGGGGTCATTGGCAAGGTCGAGCCCCTGAAGAGTGCGTTGGGTTGTCCAATCTCTTTCCAGTTACCAACCTCGGCAACCCCTGACAGAAAAAAGGTTTGGCAAACTTTCTCCCTGCGATTTGTTTGTCAGGCTTAATCGTCAGGGGGGCATTACCAGGCTCGTTCGCGAAGGTGCGATTGGCAAGGATTGTTCGGGAAAGTGGGATTGCCAAGCTCTTTCGCGAACGTGGGATTGGCAAGGCTCGTTCACGAACGAGGGGTCGGCAAGCTCGTTCACGAAGGTGGGGTTGACAGGCCTGTTCGCATACGTAGGGTTGGCAAGGTCATCCGCGAATGTGGGGTTGGCAAGATCGTTTTCGAGCGTTGGGATTGACAGGCCCGTTCGCGAACTTGGGGTTGCTAAGGTGCTATTGAATACTTTTGACTGGCAGGGCCGTCGAACGTGCAAGATAGGCAGGCTCGTTCGCTCTGCCGACATCGCGAAGGCGGCACGCCTGCATCAGACTTGAAGTAGAGATGGTGTGGCTTACTACCATCCTACAGTTCCTCGGGCATTACCTTGTTCGGCGAAAGCCACATAAACAACAGACACTGACCATCAACGTGCGTAACCAACTGCAGTACAGACAAAAAGAGGCGCTGTTTTCACTTTACACACACAACAACTAGACTAGTACACAGCCGAGAGAGTCGTTAATCCTCTCTCTCACGACAACGGTCAGAACAACAAGCTCACCACAACAGCGTCACAAAACAGAAGGCACAAAAAGACCGCGTTTCGTTTTTCTACGCGCAGACTACCGCGACCACTCGATTACTCTCGCAACGTCCTCGTTGACGCGGTGTCGAGAGTCTCAATAATACTCACGGTATGAGGAAACGTGAACACGCACGCTGCGCCTCTCGAAACCAGCGGTAGAGCAAAAAAAATGGGACTTCAACACACCACGGCGTTCTATGCATATAATGTAACACCACCGCTACGATTGACCTAGTCCGCGGGATGCAAGCATCTCCTTCCTCCATATGCCCGCGCGACAAAAAAACACCATAACCGAGGCATCACCCCTCGCTTGTCCCTCGACAGAGGTAATAACAACAATAGACCTACAACACGCAGCTCCGCCATATGCCCGCACGACCAAAACTAAAACAACCTAGTGTCACCACACCGTCCTGTTCCATGATGACAGGCAAAAAGAACAACCCAACCCAAACGGAATCACGGGGCAAAGGGCATAAACGACCTTTTATTTTTCATTTTTTTTGCCTTCCGACAATTGCAGATGTACCTAAAAAAACTTTCACTTAATGTCTCAACATACTCTACATGAATATTAAACCAATACGAAGTACAACAACATATGTAGGACTTATTTCTACTGTCATTTACATCGTAAAAAATATCTCCTCTTCAACTTGAAATAAAACCAATGGCAATCCTGATGGTATCCTATATGTGTTCGTAAGCTTGCTAAAATNTTCATCTCAAAGGCCTTTGTCGCCAATGACGCCGTGAACTTCACTTTCGAGGGCGAGGCAGCGGACGATACGGCGGCAAACGTGTGCGATAGGACGGGGGGATGTGAGGAATATGAACACATTCAGGGAAGCTTTTGGGTCAAAGAAACCGACAGTTATTTTCGGGGGAACAGGGACAAATGGGAAAAATGCTGAAACCAACCTTTTGGCTTCATGCATAATCATTCTAGCCACCAGGGGATCTTCTTAAGGCTATAGATCGGCACGCACAACTACCCGCCGCTAGTCGTGTCGTTTTGTCTTGGGATTTTTGCGAGCGCTCAAGACACTTGACGGAGGATAAGTGAACACAGTACTTGGCCGTGGAAATGTACGTACATGTATACCTACCTTATTCTCCCGGGTGTTACCACAAACCCTTTGCACGATGGAGGGGCTATCTTCGTTCAGAGCGACCGTGGGAAATAAAACGAGTTCCTGTTCGACGCGTTGATAGGACGCTACGCGAATTCACTGAACCACTCCGCAATAGTTCTTCGGACCCATTTGGACATTGGTTCGCTGCACGTTAGCACGTTTTCGACCGTGCGCTCTCTGACTGACGCGATAAATACTGAATATTGACTACAGCGGGGAAGCACACCGTGGCGAGGGCTGCGGTGGCAGTGGAGGTCTGGTCCTTACCTCCCTGCGGAGCTGAGCCTGGGAAGGACGTCCCGGCCAGAGCCTTGAGCGCGTCCACCTTCTCTTCGAATTCCTGTTCCTTCAGGGGCTGTGTACGAAGGGGCAGAGAGGGACGTTCCCAAAGGTTCCAGAAAGAGCGGAAAAAGCACGGTTCAGAATTGAAAAATGAGAAACGATTGTGAACACCCCTTCGGAGCACTCAGCAGCTTCCAGACCGCGGGAGCACATGGCATACAGAACACGTGCATATGGATCGCCTCGACAAGCGAGTGGTCATGCATGCGGATCATTTCGATGTTTTACGTGCTTGGGCGAAACGCTTTGAAAAAGGAACCCGTTTGAATGCTGCTGTTACGCACCACACACGGTAAAAAACGTGTCGTACGAAAGAGCGACCAAGAGTACGCTCTGCAGTAGAGTGTGATCTGCGGCAAAGACCGCGCTACATAGCCTGCACCCATCATTGTACACAAAGTCTCATACCGGATATTGGGGTTTGGCGATACAACCGTGATGATATCAGCAAACAACCTCTCGGGGATACTTACATGTCCATATGAACAGCAGTAGCCAAGTTCTAGCCCTTCTGTGTTCGGGTTGGCAACATAGAAAACAGACGGTAGGATGGGATGAGCGCGGTAGGTCTGCATTGCTGTAGAATGGTCTGAAGTATATAGCGTACTAGGGGGAATGACTCCCCCCCCCCCC